GACCCCTCTCTCTTCGGCCCGCTGGCTAGTTTGTGGGCAAAACACTTGGCCATTTCCGTTTCCTTTGTCAACGCCCTTCCACCCCCGGCTCACCGAGAGGTTTACAGCTACCGCACCCCCCCCCCCCCCCCTCCCCCTTCCCCCTGCCCTCACCTTGACGTGCCTGCGGCTCTCGCGGAAGCCTTCCGCCAGGAGGGTGACCACATCCTTGTGGTCGTCGAGGAGTTGCTGGAGCAGCTGGCAGTACAGGCCCTCAATCTCCCTGTTCTCGATCTGGGGTGGTGCAGAAGAGACAGAGAGAGAAAAGGAGGAGACAGGAATCGAGACACACGCTTGCGAGTGCCCCACCCCCCCCTCCCTCGCCACCCATCCCTGGCAGCGCCACCACCACTCGCACCGGGAGCAATGCCACCGGCAGGGGGGGTCGGCTCAAAACCCCCGTTCCCCTCCCCAGCCCGTACCACAAGCGGAAAACGACGTCTTTACTCACTGGAGGGAACTCGCTGAGCTTCTGGAAGGCGCGAATGTATAACTCATGCTGTGGGGGAGGGAGGGAGAAGACAGAGAGAAAGAGACAAAGATCCAAAATGAGTACAGGGATGCCCAGAGCAGGCTGCAAGCAACAGGCGAACACCACCCCCACCACTCCCCACCCAGTGCTCAGGGTAAACGGGGCTGTCTCCCTCTGCGCTGCTGGAGGATGGGCGCCGAGGGGAGAGCCACAGACCTGAGCCTGCAGCACAGAGCGACATGAGCCAATGACAGGCATACGACGTCGTCTCTGCTCCCCCCCCCCCCCACCCCATCCAGACTCGATCCCTGTGGTTTTACAGAGTTCGCTCCAACCCTCACACTCACCACCTGCAGAATGGTTGGGTTACATCCCAGAATGAACGGGAGATTTCGAATGCTCTTGATCCTGTGCGCAATACGGACTGGCAACTCCTTCAGAAGATACCGGGCGCTTTTCTAAAAAATTCCCACAGAACGGAGAAATAAAATCGTAAAACGGGCAAAGGCAACGCCAGCACGTCCCGCTCTCCCCCGCCCC